TTAAATTAAAGGTTAAATTAAAGAAGGTTGTTTTAGCTTATATTATTTTCATTGTTCATATAGATTTTTTGGAAGCATGTGCAATCGCCAGTTACTGAGCAGAGATATATACACATGACATCCTGACAGAATGTGTAGACTATATTTAAAATACTCTCCTTTAACTTACTTGTGGCTGTATTGTGACCCAGTCTCTCATCACCTTCATGACTTTTCTTCATTGAAGTATGTTAGGGGTATTGAAGCTGGAAACCCAAGTCTAAAGAAACAGATCTATAGGTTGAGGGTCAGTGCCCAAATGAAAACCTCTAAGTCTTAAAATATATCTTTCTTTTCATAATAAAATTCCTGCTTTATTAAAGTCATACCCACATTGAGCACCACACCCAGACCTGATGTGTGGCCACGTCTTCCATTTTGGTATGTGTATCTTGGAGAGGTATTCCACTTTTACACACGCGCGCGCGCGGCGCACGACAACAACACACACACACACCACACACACACACACACACACACACACACCACACACACACACACACACAGCCACACCACACACACACACACATACCTATAAACATACACATACACAGGTAATTGGAGAGTTCCTGTTTTCTGGCACACTCAAAGGTAAAAGTTGGATAAGTTTAAGAGAAACATTTAAAAGGTAGTTTAAAAGCAGTGACTGGAAAATAGAGCCAGTAAAATAGTGTAACTGTGGTGTTAAAAAAAGTCCAGACACTACTGCACCTTTCCCACCCTGTCAGATGATGAACACACACAGTCTCATCAGGACTCATGGCAAAAAAAGAATAATAGAACTTTTTACTCAAAAGTTTTGAGTCTGCGTGTCAGGGTAAAGAAATCAAACCAGGGTTACGGTTCTTGAAATAACTGAAGAACGTCTGTTTTGACTTATAAAAACATATGTACTCATACTCACACACTCACACACACAGACATACAGAGTACAGATGGACTGATAGCAGAGCTGGCACTAGACAGGAAAGTGACGGGGTAGAAAAACAGTAAGATTAGCTGAGCTGGACTAGTTGGCTGCTGGCTCAGCACGGGTGCAGGTGTGGCACAGCCTGACCCAGCCTGGTCAGCCAAGTGGTGCTCCTGCAGCTGTAAAAACACACACACGCACACACACACCACACACCACACAACCCACTACACACACCAACAACCACACACACACATAGACATAGACATATACAGTACATACATGCACGGATGACCTACACACATATTAAGGGCTCACACCATACAATCAAATCCACACACATTGTATTTAACTATATAAATATACATACAAGCGCTGACATTGACTGCATTTATTCCTTGCCCCTCCCAGCTTCAACTTTTACCCTCTTCCCTGCATGTTTGACCTTTAACCTTTAGCCTACCCTTGTTTTATTATAAACTTAACCTGATTTTATTTTTGTGTAGACAATCAGTAAACACTCACACAGAGCTGTAGACTAAAGACTTGAGATATAAAGGTCCAGTGTTTAACATTTAGGAGGATCTATTGGCATGAATATGGCTTCATCAGTGTATTATCACCTGAAAATAAGGTTGTGTTTTCATTAAGTTAGAATGAGCTTTTTACAGAGTGGGTCCTCTTCCATGGTGGTTGCCATATTAAACTGCCATGTTTCAACACTGGCTCTAGATAGGGCCTTTCGCCTTTTTTGTGAGTTTTGTGGCCATCGTAGTTTCCCCACACACAGGAGGGTGAGGTGAGGGGTTATAATCTGTAACTACACCGCTAGATGCTACTAAATCCTACACACTGGCCCTTTAGGTCACAAATTTGAGGTCTTGACTGAACTGGAAACTGACTAAGACCAGATATACTTGAGACTTGACTATCTGGGACTAACACGAAGATGGCAGAACGACCAAGTAGCCCAAGTCCGGAGAAATAAACCCACCAAATGTTCTGTATTTGACTAGATAAACAGATGATGTAAAAGTGTAGTTGAGGGAAAAATAATAAAAACAAACTCAAGAACAGAACTAAACTAATGGCTGCTGGTTGTAGCTTCATATTTACTCACACAGACACAAGAGTGGTATGAATCTCATCTGAATCTCTGCAAATAAGCGAAATAGTTTATTTTAGTTAGTTATTTAGTTTAAGTGTGTGACACAGTTTTAAGCAAATGACCCCCTAATTGCTCCAAATAGGGAAAAAAGTGTAAATTACTTTGGACCTGCGCAGTGTAATGCTGAAATGTAAAGGACAGTAATGGAGTGCACTGAGGATAGTTTGAATTCAGAGTAAATGACAGACTGATGCATGAACTTCAAACAGCCCTCTACAATTGGATTAGCCACTGATTTTTATATTGCTTCACCCGTCTGAGACGCTCTCACTCAAGCCACACACACACACACAAAAGTACACTCACAGACCGCTGTGCCGTGTCATTACCACACTGCTGTGACTCCATAAAATGAGTTGTAAATACAACCAGGCCTCCCAATTAGCGCCACTCACTTTCTCTCCTCTTTCATCTCCCCTTCCCTCTTTCTCCCCCTCTTGCATCTTTCATCCTAATTTTTCTGTGCTTTCCTTTTTTCCTTTTTAATCACCTGTCCCTTCTGACTTGTCTGTGTCTTGTCTCATCATTTCTCTCCCTCTTTTCTCCTCTACCACATCACTTCCCTCTTGTATATCTCTTTCTTCTCTCTTTCCCACCACAGTTTTATTTCACTGTATACACCACACAATCTGAATGCCACATCAGAGCAGGATTTGCACTTCTCAGTCGTAATATTTGGCTTCATTTTACTGTCTTTTATCATTCTTTTAAATAATCCCTTCTCTGCCTTCTAAGTAATTTTCCTTAGTTTGCTCTCTCCCTCTCCCTTGTCTCTAGCTTTTTCCAGACTGATAATTTACCTATCTACCTTTCTTTTCTCATCTTCTCCGGTCTTTTACTCATCTTTGTTTGTCTCTGTTATTTTTCTTCCACTGCTCTCCTCTGTTTTCACCTCTCCACTCCTTCTCTGCTCCCTATGTAATTTGCAGACTGCATAGGGGAAAGGGTTGTTTTTGAGTTTCTTGCGGCTGACCACGATGTTATATTTAGGCAAGGGCTGGAGTTAGGCCTGAAAATGACTGAGTTCACTAGCAGAAAGTACTCACCCCAATTCACTGTGTGTGTGTGTGTGTTGGTCTGAGGCTTACCAAACCCTATTCAACGCTTGAAACAGGTCCCACTGAGAACAGGTTTCCTGCAGACAAACAGGGTGTGGCTTGGGTTTGTTCGTGTGTGTTTGTCATTTAGGTTTCCTCTCTGTATCATGGCACAACCGGATGGGAATGCACAGATGCGGTCGCTGTGTGTAATGACACATGCACACTGCATGCAATGACCAGTTTGAGTCAAGTGGCAGCTAATGTGCTTATGTGTGTCAAGTATGAGTAATATAGTTGTGGGTCCAGGTCCAGTTGTGATGTGGACCATTTATATCTGACTTGAGGGGAAGGAACTTGAGTCCAATATCTCAGTGTTTTACTGGCTATTCATTTTCTCAGAGAAGCACTTGAAATTGTATATTATCTTATAGGGGATGTTTATTGAGATTTTAGGAAACCAAGTGACTGATACTCCCTGGTCTCCTCCCTTTCCCTCAGGCTCTTTCACTCCTTGCACTTTCCTTCTATTTTCCTTCTTTTTCTTTCTTGCGCTCTCTGTCTTGATTCAAGATCACTTAGCTGGATGTTTTAGCAAACGAACATGGCATTCTTGATCTCAGCCTGTCCTTTTTTTCGTTATAGCACGGAGGCGTTCAGTGCTGAGCGTGGAGCCAGGCAGGGCGCCACCAAGGTGATGATTGTAGTGACAGACGGAGAGTCACATGACGGGGAGGAGCTAGAAGACGCTCTGGTGGAGTGTAACAACAGAAACATCACCAGATACGCCATCGCTGTGAGTACATTTCATGAAGTCTTGATGGGCCATTCTGCTCATTTGAGGGTTTCAGCCTATCACGATGCTCAAAATGTTGATTCAGGAGCTTTTTTCTACCATAAAAAAAAGAATGCAACTATTGTGAGAAACACAAACAACTATCCTAAATCATCAGTGGGGTGTGTAGAGCATCCCTGACATTCGTCACACATTGTGTAAAAAGATGGTGACCATCGACATCCTCAAGTAACCACACAATACCACCACCCCAAAAATAACATCTCCAAATTACCAAATGAACCCCTTGGGTCTACTAAAATAGCCAAGTGGGAAGAAAAACTCTTCCTTTCGAGCCCCACCCGACCCCCTCAACACACAGACACACGCTGATTGGGGGCATGGTTTAAGTGTCAGAGGGGCAGACAGGCTCTAGTGGCAGGACTGGTTGCAGACCCCTCCCTTTACCCACAAGAGAAGCTGGGGAATCTCCAGACTCCACTAGAACCACAGAAGAGGCAAAGTGCTACTATAGAAATATGTGACGGTGGAGATCAGACACATGTAGTAATCTATGGATGGAGAAGTTCAGTTACAAGTCCCACTGTGTTTGGATAGCCCTATGGTTGAATTATTATAAAGTTTGGTGCTTTAGCCCATGGCGTTGGTGGCTGAATTCCACGTATCAGAGCAAAGCTTGTTGAGAAGAAGAAGGGCTTGCTCTGCCTATGGAACAACAGGCCCTGCTGTTTGATCAGACCGGGATCACATTCAAAATTCTCCTGTGTCTTCCTGAATCTGTCTGTCGTACAGTGTTACTAAAGGAAGGTATCTTGAGAAATTAAATGCAGTCTGTTTTTAAAGCATTGGTTCAAAGAGCTGACGAAAGAGATGAACCTGATGAAGGCCACATGCCGAAACACATTGGTACGAAATACATTTTGCTAATGCTCACAATGATAATGCTAACAGGCTGATGTTAAGCAGGTATAATGTTTACCATAGTCACCATCTTAGTTCACACTTGCTAATTAGCATCAAACACAAAGTACAGCTACAAGGCTTGGATTGGGATTTTTTATTAGTTTTGCAGGTATTTTGGTCAAGAAAGAATTGAATTAATTATTTTTTTTACCTGATATCAGATCCAAGTATAATGGCAACAAATTCAGTAATTGTTTCAGTCTGCACCAAAGTAGTGGACAGACAGACAGTGTCAACATCTTTCCACAAACAGTGAGCTCCTTTCTCTGGACAGTCCACAAACCTGACTGTGACTGTTTTCATTAGAAATAATTTCTACTGAAGAATGTGTGTGGATCAGGACACTCTGTCTGGAAATAGATTTCTTTAGCTTTTAGCACCACAGACAAAATTTAATTTACCTTAATTCTGTTGGATGGGAGGCATATTTCTCAGACAGTTCCAAACATGGGAAAAACCAACCTACAATATTAT